CCAGCAGTTGGTGTAATGGCTATGTTATGGACTCCTATGTTATAGACTCGAACTGCACCGGACCCGGTGGCTTAAACCTGTGTGTGTGTGTGTGTGTGTGTGTGTGTGTGTGCCCAAGATCCGGAGAGGAGAATAGATGAGAAGGGATTGCAGAGTGGCCATACCCCCTGGGGGGTGATTTCTTGCTTTCTATCTCTCTCTGTCTCTGTCTTTCTGGCGAGCGCACACGCCCTATAACAACAACAACAACAAAAAACCCTCTCAAAAAAAAGTGCTAGAAAATCATATTTCACATCCTGAGTAAAACTTAATGAGAGTAATTGTATAGCTGGAGTTGTTTCTATGATGTAAATTGTATCTATTATTTAAGAGGTCAATTACTGACCTTGAAGTTCTTTTATACAACTCTCTAATCAATGCAAATATGATCCTGAAATCATTTCAATGTATTATGCCAAATTTCATATGACTTTTTCAGGTTCTCTGGGCTTTCAGGTTTTCTAATTAGAAGATAATGAGGGGACTGGCAGGTGGCATGGTGGTCAAGGTGCCAGACTCCCACATGGCCAACCGCGGTTTGAGTCCAGAACTTAGCAACTTGTTTTCTCACGTTCTCATTTTCTCGCTCTCTGTCTCTTCGTGTCAAATTTTCAAAAATAATAATGACGAGGAACCAGCAGTTAGCGTAATCGCTATGTCACTGGACTCACACGTAGTCGACCGCGCCTCACGTTCCGGACCCGGTGGCTTAAAACTCATGCCAGTCGCATGTGCATGTGCGCCCAAGATCCCGACAGGAGAATGGAGGAGAAGGGATTGCGGCATGACCATCCCCCCTGGGGGGTGATTTCTCGCTTTCTGTCTCTATGCCTCTCTCTGTCTGTCTGGTGAGTGCACGCGCCCTATAGCGAAAATCTCTCCAAAAAAAAATAATAATAATAATAACGAATGAAATTAAGCAAATATTTATTTTACTTATTTTATTTATTTTTAATTTGACCAGAGTAAACTGCCGTGGCCATGTGAGAGTCCAGCACCCTTAACTACCATGCCACCTGCCAGCCCTGAAGCGAATAAAAATTTCTTTATTTTGCGGGCGCATGTGCATGTGTGCCCAAGATCCTGAGAGGAGAATGAAGGAGATAGGATTGCGGCGTAGACATCCCCCCTGGGGGGCGATTTCTCGCTTTCAGTTTCTCCATCTCTCTCTGTCCCCCAGTGAGTGCATGTGCCCTATAGCAAATTTTTAAAAAAAGGGAAAAAAACTCTGTAGCCCTACATCAATTATATGTACACCATGAATAATAATTTTTAAAGTTTTAATAAAATAATTAATTAAAAATTAAAAATTAGACCTCAATAAAGTTAGCTTTAAAAATTAAAATAAAGCTTACCACAATAAAAATGAAGACTCATACAATAAAATCCTAAAGGAATATAGTTCTGTAACCATGGTTGGCTACATGGGAGTTCAGTGACATAGCCATTAAGCTAACTGCTGGTCCCAATAAAAATTTCTTTTTAGAAAAGAAAAAGAAGATAATTAGGTGAGTTACTGGGCTTTGCATTTATATACCTTATCACTCAACATTTAGCCTGTATTACCCTACGCGTGAATCTAGAATTTCTTGTCATGTAAATCATGTTTACAAGTTTACAATAAGTCAAAAAAATGTTATTTCATCTAATCCGTTGCTTAATTAATGTGTTGTATTTTCACAAGTGATTTTATTGTTGTTATTATGTTTAGTGTGACAGTATTTCCAGATAGCTTTTTGTTTGTTGGGAGACTGGGGTACTTAGGAGGGGTTAGTACTTTGAATGAAATATCTTACTTTATAATGATGAAATTGTGTTTTCTTTGTCTTGTGACCATGTGGGTTTTTTTTTTTTAAGTGAGATTTTACTTTTTGTGCTGGTAGTACTATTATACCCATCATGAGTGTCTTACTTGTGTTGTATCACATTCCATACCCTCATCTAATTTTTTTTTTTTTTGGAGAGATTTTTGCTATAGGGCGTGCGCTCTTGCCAGACAGAGACATAGAGACAGAAAGCAAGAAATCACCCCCCCAGGGGGGATGGTCACGCCGCAATCTCTTTTCTCCTCCATTCTCCTTTCGGGATCTTGGGCACACACGCATCCACACGCGCCCGGTGTGAGCTTTAAGCTACCCGGTCCGGGAAGCAAACCGCGGTCGACTATGTGGGAGTACAACGACATAGCCATTATGCTAACTGCTGGTTCCCACCCTCATCTAATTCTTAATGAACTATTCGCTTGTTTAAAAAAAAAATAGAGTTTAGGACTCAGCCTCTGTGGCGTAGTCAGTGGTATACTGGACTGTGGAGCTGGAAGCCACATCCTGACTATGGTTTGAGTCCTGGCTTGTCAGGTGGGTGCATGTTCACATACCCAGGATTCCTGCAGGGTGGAGGACTGGAGGAAAGGTTCCTGGTGTGACTGAGCCTTCTGGGGGTGCTCTTCTCTATCTCTCTCTCTCTCTCCCTGGTGTGCACACTCACACACTGTCATGAAAATAAAAAAAAGTTTAGTTCTCCTTTCATGAGCATATAAACCCATTTCATGGGTTATAGATAAAAAAGAAATCAGAAATTAGAACAAAGCAACCCTTGGAGTATTTAAAAAACAAACAGAAAAGTTTACATTGGCAAGTCAAATCACTTACCTTTAAGAAAAATAAAAATATTATTAAGTGCCATCATCAACAATGGCAGTGAGTATTTATAATATTCTAAACAGAAGCCACATATCTGGATCCTAAAGGTTTTCTGATTCACAGAATTTCACAATTTAATTCAACTGAAATAACCAAGTGTTCGTGTTATTCCTAATCTGGGACCACCCTATGCTTTACTAAACGATTGTCTGTGGACATCTTTGGTTCTTTCTTCGGTGATGTTTTGAAGTTAGAAACTGATGATGTCATATGCTTTAAAAAGTCCCATATTGCTTATGTCTGAATCAGTAGTAGATACACATTCCTAATTTAGTCCAAACAATTTTGTTTGCTCACCCTACAGGTTTTGAGACGCCTCAGTTGTTTGGTAGACTTGTCAGAACCATTTTTAAATCCCATCCCAGCCCCATTGTGTTAAAGGTGGCATTTGAAACCACAAACCATTTCACCAGTGGCAAACAGAAGGCCTGCCTTCCAATTTAATGATTAACAACTTAAGATAAGGACTTGTGTTAACAAGCAATTTGACAACACATTATGAAGTGATGACACATCTCAATATTAATAGCTGTCTAAAATAGCTTTTCCATGAACACTATCCTACAGACAAGTAGCTGAGTATTTTTTTTTAAGGAATCTATCTATTTGGATCTTCAGAAAATTTTTTTATCCCTGCTAAAGAAAATTACAGAATATTTTAGAACATGTTCTCATTAACCTTTCTGTGTGATGTTTATGTTTCCTTTGTGACGTTTATGTTCTTACATGGAATAAGAAAGGAATAAAATACAAGGCTGTTTGGTAGCAAGCAGAGTGTTTAAAGTTGAAAAGCAATAGTGTTTATTTATTTTTCTCATTAAAAATGGTTTAGGTGGGAAGGGAAATATTGTAATGGTTCTAGGAAAAAGGCTGTCATCCTCCCTTCTCCTCCATTTCTGCAGAGACTAGTATGGTATCCTGCATGGTTGATATTCCATTAATATTTCATTATTTAATAACTAAAAAGCCTTCTCCTAGTTTGAAGTGGTAACATTTTGCAGATATCCAAGCATCTATGAAAACAGTTAACCTGATTCATTTTTCCTACTTTGAAACATTGAATAGAATGTCATTCATTTTTAAGCTCCAAGGACTTACTTATTATCTAATGCAACTTAAAAAGATTATGAAAATGTATCGGTAAAAACAAATGCTTTCCCAAGAAATTATTTCTATAAACTGAATAGGTGAATCAAACTTGTAGATAACTTTTTACTCAATCTGAAAATTAAATATTCCTGCTCATGGAAAAACCATAGAATAAATTATTACTTTGCATTGCTGATAGAGGCTAAATCTAATCTTGAACTCATTGGAAACCATTTATTCTTTTTTGAGAGAGATTTTTGCTATAGGGCACATGCACTCCCTGGAGAGACAGAGAGAAACAGAAAGCAAGAAATCACCCCCTGGGCAGATGGCCACGCTACAATTCCTTCTCCTCCATTTTCTTCTTGGGATTTTGGGCATGCATGCATGGAAACATGGAAAACAAACCTGATAGTACCTATGTAAGGCTATTAGAAGGATTAAATGAGATAATTCCTTGTAAACCAGTGTGTATCAATCCCTCAATATGTACTAACCATTATTATTGAATTCCAATATAAATTTTCTGGCCCTGCCTGGGGCCTGTAGGGAATTAATGCAGAACTCTATATTTGTAGAGAGGTTGTGCCAGTGTGTTTAAATTCTAACCATGGGCTCAATCTTGTGGCTGTATTACAATGCCTCTGAGTCTTCAAGCCTGGTTCTGGCCCAATTCCATGCCCCTCAAGTAGACAGTATTTCTCTCTGTAGTTGTTCTGGAGAGAATGCTATTTAGAAATCACCAAACTATAGATATTCTGGAGGCAAAGCTAGGTTTCTCTTCCTGGGACTTACTGTACCATCTTAATATTTGATTATCTGAAAAAGTAAAAGTAGCTGCCTTCCTACAGGACAGGAAAAAAAAAAAAAAAAAAAAAAACACTTACGCCATCTGCTTCCCACAGTATCCATAAATATGCTGAGGCCATTTATTTTGCCGGATGGATTTTGAGACCCCGTTGAAACAAGAGATGCCCTCATTTTATATTTCCCTCAAATTCAACCACAAACCACACTTGGGAGGAAAAGAAGAAAAAACCAAAACAAAACTCGCCGTGTAAGCATGTTTACCTTCGACTGACTAGGAAGTTGGAACTTACCCTAAATGATGATTCACCATTGCAGGCCTATAAAAGTAAAGGTACTTGTCCGTGGAAAGGCAACGGCCTCCAGGCACAAATGCTCAAGATGCACCCAGGTGTCCTGGTTGTCCTCCTCTTCTTGAGCTGGACTCATTGTCGGTCCTTGCCCCTTCCAAATGGTGATGATGATGATGATCGGTCAGAAGAAGAACTCCAGTTTGCAGAGGTAGAGTATCTTGCCGATTTCTATGATACACTACATCTCATTCAGTGCCTTCTCTTTTAAAAGCAGGTGAATTTGGTCTCTTTTTTTAGCAATACCTGAAATCATACTACCATCCTCTGAATCCTGCGGGAATCCTGAAGAAGACTGCAGCAAGCTCCATGGTTGACAGGCTCAGAGAAATGCAGTCTTTTTTTGGCTTGGAGGTGACTGGCAAGCTTGACGCTGACACCTTAGATGTCATGAAAAGACCAAGATGTGGGGTTCCTGATGTGGGTGAATACAATGTTTTCCCTCGAACTCTCAAATGGTCCAATGTCAATTTAACCTACAGGTAAATCGTTGGCCATCTTTCTTTGATATTTGTTAGTTTTTTCTTATAATAATAAATGTCTAATTTCCAACACAAGATACAGGTGACAGGACATTTATTGACCTATTTTTGTAAAGTAGCCCTTATTTATTTAATCGGAAAATGCAATTGTAAATGAAGTCATTCTAGAAATAGCTTCCATACTGTTGATGAGATGATGCTTATAATAACTAGTATTTCTTTTTTTTTGGAGAGGTTTTTGCTATAAGGCGTGTGTGTTCACCAGAAAGACAGAGAGAGAGACAGAGAGACAGAAAGTGAGAAATCACCCCCCAGGGGAGATGGCCATGCCGCAATACCCTCTCCTCCATTCTCCTCTTGGAATCTTGGGCATGCACGCACACGCACCCAGCGTGAGTTTAAGCCACTGGGTCCAGGACTCAAACAGCTGTCGATTACATGGGAGTCCAGTGACATAGCCATTACACTAACTGCTGGTCCCAATAACTAGTATTTTTATGTTAAGCCAGAATTACATTTGTTGGAAATCTCAAGTATTTCTTTTAGAAATGAACCCAAAATAGAAGTGTAGGTAGGTTCAGAGAATTTGCTAATGTAGTACATCAGGCATTTTTATTACCACAGTGCTGAAGTTGGAGAATGAACCTCTCTGTAAGAGTGGAACTTTATAGAGCTACTTCATTTATTTTGGGCTTTATCAACATAGGTCCAAACCCACATCCATGCACAACAAGTTATATTAAACATCTGAATATTTTAAAGTTGAGATACTAAATAGTCAGATATTTGGAGATACTCTAATATCTGATTGAGTTCTTGACTTTTTATCCGTGTATGGAATCATAATTAATCAATTCTTTGAAACAATGGGTCTCTAGAAAACTTCTAAAGAAACTGTTGCATTTCAAGTTGAAAAGCAGTAGTCCAAAAAATTTATTCTAAAATAGCTCTTACCTTCAATAAATTTAATGGCAATTTTCTCTATTGAATAGAATTGTGAATTACACCCCTGATATGACTCATTCTGAGGTAGAAAAGGCATTCAGAAAAGCCTTCAAAGTTTGGTCTGATGTGACACCTCTGAATTTCACCCGACTTCATGATGGCATTGCCGATATCATGATCTCCTTTGGAACTAAAGGTAATGATGCAAAATCATTTTTCAAACATTTTTATATTCAAATCCTAATTGGCTCCATTTTTATTCCTTCTTTCACTCATTCATTACTGCATACAGTATTCAACAAAAATTCACCAAGTATCTGTGCTAGGTACTACTGACTATAATCAAGTGATAATTTTTGCTTTGTGTGTAGAGCATGGTGATTTCTACCCATTTGATGGACCCTCTGGTCTTCTGGCTCATGCTTTTCCTCCTGGACCAAATTATGGAGGAGATGCCCATTTTGATGATGATGAAACCTGGACAAGTAGTTCCAAAGGTAGTATTTCTTATAATGATATATTTTATAAATTATTATACAGTGAATCTTCTGGTTGAAAAGTATAAAGATGAATTATGTTTGATATTTGATTATATAGTCTAAGAAAAAATGAAAAGTTGATCTCATACTTTAATGTTTCCACAGTGATATTTCTGTAAACTAATGTGAAATATGAAAAATGTGGAAAATCTAGCTTGTCATTGTGACCTGAGGGATACCAGTTTTCAAGTGGGACCAGCAGGTCTTGTCTGTTAGCCAAGCTATTGTTACTGCTGATTTTCTTCTTTTGGCATATCAAAGAAGTACAGTTCGTTTTAAATATATACCTGAAAAATATTAGGGCCAGCTCTATGAGTTATAAGTGAATTGGATATGAATTGAAATAAAATAGTATTTTCCTTGGTAGAAATATCAGTGACATAAATTCAGTATAAGTTCTGTTTCCTATTATAGGAGTAATTTATTTCAGATTTGTCTTTATCACTGGTTTTGTCAATACCACTTTGATAGTGTTATTCTAATCTCAAATGATCTCTTACTCTAAAAAGCATGAGGAAGACAAACTGGAATGCATATTTGTAAAAGTAAAACTGAACAGGGTCAGTGCTATGGCCTGGTGTCAAGGGAGCTAGATTCCATATGACCGACCACGTGGTTCAAGTCCCAGCACTGGCAACTTGAAAAACTTGTCAGGTGCATGCACGTGCTTGTTCCCCAAATCCCGACAGGATGTAGAGTTAGAGAAGGAATTAGAGCATGACCATGTCCCATCGAGGGGTACTTTCTCCTTCTCTCCCTATCTGTCTCTCTCTGGCAAGCACACATGCCCTCTGGCAAAGAAAAAAAAAGTAAAATGAAACAGTGTTGAATGAATTCAGCTAGTAGTTAAATCTTAAAAGCTTAGAATAATTGGGAATGTTAATTTAGGAAGAAAAAACAGATTTCTTTCAACTAGGACTTAACTTTAGAGCTGTATTGATCTAGAGTTATGGTAACTAGAGGTAGTCTTTACAGCTCATTTTTATTATTTTTAATTTTTATTATTTTTAAGTTTATTTATTACATAAGAGAGACACAGAAAGAGAGAGGGAAAAAAAAAAAACCTCAAAGGTTCTCACACCTACAATCCTCCTCTCGAATCTTCTCAGTCTGCCAGTATCACACACCTGGTGAATACAGAATCAACCTGGGAATTGAACCCCAACATTCTATACAGTTTCTAGCACTGCAAAATAGTGTGCCACTGATATATCACCACAGCTGGACCTGATTTTTATTATGTATTTAAACAAACAATACTATTTTTCCAAAAGCTAAAACTAGGCCTTAAATTTATCTTTGAAGAGAAAGGTGGGAATTTACTTATTTCTATGTTCTGAATATTTTATAGGTAAAGAAGGTTTTAGAAAGAAAGCATAACATCTAATATTGTTAAGACACAGTGCAGTAAGTCTCAGATTTAGGTTTGTGTATAAATTCTGTGTTCAAAAATATTGGATCAAAATGAATGGAAACATCCACAAATAAATCTGGATTAGTTTTTTAGCCAAAGGCTAAGAATGGTATTCATCACTAGCCATTTCAATGAGGAATTAGTTATCATGAATATCTGCAGAATGAAAAAAAAAATTAGTTATCACTGAGAATTTGTGACCTCCAATTGCCCTTACTGTCTTCAAGATTTGCTAGTTGGTCATCCATTTCTCTCATGCACAGCTGTGATGGCAAAGGGTACTGAAGGTCGAATTGAAACCACCAACTCCAATTTGCCTGTATTTGAAGCAGAAGTCAAAGTAGTTCTTATTGCCTTATATACATTAATTTCCTTTTATTATTATCATCTTTTTTCTCATTTAAAATACCAGTATTTGAAGGCTAAAAATTGGTAGGAAGAATGACCACATGAAATGATATAAATACAGTGACACAATGGTTTTATAGAATAGAGGAAAGATTTTCTACTATGGACAGAATTTCTATTTTTCTTAACTCTAAAGCCTAGAGATATTCTGGAAGAAATGTCTGGTTGGAATTTGTTCCTAAGTGTATACACAGAGACCCTGTTGAATGAGCCCTCTATTCTTGGTCACCATCCATTTAGATGCTGTGTCCTATGTCAATGACATTCCAGGCATACCCTTTGTGCCACCTGTGTGATTTTTCCACTCCAGGATTTAAGATCCTCACTGTCCATGTTCCTCACCTGACCTGAAAATACAAAGAACAAATCAAGATTCCTAGTGTCTTCACAGTAGATCCTTAATGATTACTAATTCTGTGAGAGCAACCTGTTGACCTTCTAATTGTGTAGGCAGCTCTAATCAAAGAAAACAGTTAAGTAATTTATAAGAATTAAATAAGTTCTCTGAACCTTCCTTCAAGCAACTTAGTTTAGTTACTTCCAACAAACTAATTTTGCAAAGTGAGTAAGAGCCCAGCTATGGTGGCACAGGTTGGGAGACACTACTGTGCCATACCGAAGCCACATGGGAGGACCTGGCTTAGGATCTGGGTTAACACCGACACACTGAGTGTGCCTGTGACTGTGATCCTGACTGGTTGGCAGGCTTAGGGGAAGGGGGCAGATAGTGGCATCGTGAAACTCATGGAGGGTTGGAGGAGTCTGACCCAGTAGGGCCCCAGGATTTGTCTTGAGCTTTTGACCTCTACCTTTTAGGTTGGGTCAGTACGTTGGCAAGGCTGCTGTTGTGTGTCTCTCCAACTTAGAAATAAAACTTAAGTCGAATTAGCATGTCGGCAAGGCTGTTTGCTATTTGTTTTGGAAATTGTGGTAGCCTTGTTGGGAAGCGACTCCCCTTTGACTCCCCAATATACTACTATAAAAAAATACATAGCTTTTTTATATATTTTGAGTATATAATAACATTTTTTAAAAGTCTCCTGACTGCTCTCCTTTGTTTTGACTACCTATTGTTAATTATAATGCTTTATTTTAGCATGGCCATAATAGAAAGTGTGTTAAAGTCACATTTAGGCAAAATATTTTTTGACTTTTGGAAGACCTTTTAAGATATATTTAATATAAGCTTAAGAATAATTTTTTAGGCCAAAACGGGCCCAGGGCACTCTCGCCCCACTATGGCTAATATTTTAACAAAATATATAGTAGTGGCACCATAGGTACAACAGAACGTTTTAAGTATGCCACAAGTTTACCTTAAAGTTTTTTATTAACTTGTTAGTTTTTATAAAATTATTTAAGTTTTATTTTTTATTAAAATTTATAAGACCTAATATTTATACTTGAGCAGGTGTCACTCTTCAGAGAGCAATCTCTGAGGGGTGTCCAACTCAGGACGTGCATAAAAAGGCACCAAGACCTTTGTCTCCTGCGCCATCTCCGATGAGTCAACCCACCCCCATCGAGGCTGGACCCCGGCAGAGGGTGTATCTCTTTCAGTCAATAAAATGAAAACTGAAAAACAAACAAACAAACAAACAAAAAACAGTAAAATAAAGAAGAAAGAAAGAGTATATAGCCAAGAAAGAAACATACAAAATAGATGAAGAAAACAATCCTGTTTTCCTTGACTGCTCTTATTTCCTCATTTTTTCTTTGTTCTTACAGGCTACAACTTGTTTCTTGTTGCTGCCCATGAGTTCGGCCACTCCTTAGGTCTTGACCACTCCAAGGACCCGGGAGCACTCATGTTTCCCATCTACACTTACACTGGCAAAAGTCACTATGTGCTTCCTGATGATGACGTGCAAGGAATCCAGTCACTCTATGGTAACTCTTAATTTATCATTTATGAAAGCAGAATGTAATCAATTATTAAAGAAGCTATATAAAAGAATATATATTTATTTTCTAAATTACTACTCAATTTACCAGTGGTAATATTCCTGTCTTGGTTTTACTATTAAAACTTGGGGGGACCAGCAGTTAGTGTAATGTCTATGTCACTGAACTCCCATGTAGTCAGCCCTGGTTCGCGTCCCGGACCCGGTGGCTTAAACTCACGCCGGGTGCGTGTGCATGCGTGCCCAAGATCCCAAGAGGAGAATGGAGGAGAAGGGATTGTGGCGTGGCCATCTCCCTGGGGGGTGATTTTTCGCTTTCTGTCTCTCTGTCTCTCTCTGTCTTTCTGGCAAGAGCATGCGCCCTATAGCAAAAAACCTCTAAGAAAAAAAAAAAAACTTGGGGAAACACACCTTTTTCTTTCCAAATTTAACTACCTGCTCATGTAGAAAATAGTCCATTTTCCAAAGGTTTTGTGGAATCTAACTCTTCATTTTTGTATTTTATACATTGCAAGGTATACCCAGCATGAGTTTTAAGCCACTGGGTCTGGGTCTTAAATCACAGTCAACTACATGGGAGTCCAGTAGTATAACAATTATGACATCTGCTAGTCCCATATTACTATCATTTTTTAATTTGATCAGAGAGGGACAGGGAGAAAGAGAGAAAGTGAGAAAGCAAGCTACCAGGTCCAGGACTCATACTGTAGTCGGCCATGTGAGAGTCCAGTGCCCTTAACCACCATGCCACCTGCCGGCCCCCCATAGTGTTTAAATAGTGTGCCTACAGTAACACATTCATCAGCTGTGTGTGTTTTACCCCAGTAATATGGTAAAAGTGACATTGTAACCAGCTTTTATAAATTCTGGGCATTCCTTCACACACTCTAATTTATCACACTCAAGTGGAAGTTCTTTGTCACTGTCTACAGCAACAATGTAAGAAACTTTTTCCCTTCCAAATTTTCAGTAATATTTACACAATAATTAAACCTCCACCCAAACATTTATTTATGGATTAACTTCCATAAATAGAGTTAAAGTCACAGTGCTTCATCACTAGTGTAAACACTTACGGAGCACACAGCTCAGAAAATTTGCTCATGCCACCCTAACCCATTATTTCTCCCCTGGTTTTAAATCTACAGCAGTTAGTATGAGCAAGAGCCTGGACTGGAAGATGGCAATAGGAATTTGCCAGTCCATTTTGCAGTTTTTCATTATTTCTATGATATGGTGACTGAGGGACTGATGATAGAACTAATATGAACAAGACAGAGAATAAGCAGTGTAGGGTCATCATTGTGCATTGCATCCCTGTCTACACTCCTGTGAGCTGGAAGAATTATGTACATGTGGGAAGTCACATCAGACTTGCTGAAGGCCTGGCTCGCACTGAGACACAGCTGGACTGCTACAAACTGATGAAGTAACCTTAGCTGCTGTTACAGCAGTGAAACACATGAGAGAAGGAGCTGAGAGAAGGGCCCCCACAGGGCTGAGGTGCTGACAGAAACAACTTTAAGAGAAATGTGGTTCTCAAGGGCAGTCAGTCAAATAGGGTTGTGCAAATCTTAGGGTTGGAGAATTTTTTTTCAGAGTGTTTTCC